ACTGACTAAAAACCACCCCGTTCCTTCTCCTGCACGTCGAGCCGGAGCCCCGGTTACCCGTTAGGTTCTCCGCGACTCCGAATCGGCATTGGCCCTATTGGGCTCCATCTGTGTCGGTCTGATGGCTCTTTGAGGCGCGCGCGGAACGCGACGCGCCGTACTTTCGGGTAAACGCTAGGGCTTGCCTGTCAGTAATGCATGCACGGCTAAAACATGTAAAACCTAGAGTGTAAGGCCTCCTTATGCAAATAAATAATAATAAATACTACTAAACTACCAAAATCTTAATTTCATTAGCAACTACAACTAAATAGCACAACGATACACAAGAAACTACCTTTAACTACAAAATTAAGGGCTCTCTTCAAGCGCGAAATTGTTCGAGTTAGCTCGAAAAGTGACGAGATCGAACATGGTAACGAAACGAGCGATGTGATAGCAAGTTACATGGATGAAAGCGACCACATTACTTACAAATGATTAATGAAATGCATGGAAATATAAAAATTACGTTTTAAATTAAATTTTGAAAAACTAATTAGAGTGTGAAAAGATAATTTGTTATGTCCAAAAAATTGTATTAACTAGCTTCTGCTAGCGGCTTTGTCCGCATTCCGTGTAATAAAGAGTTGCCTATGTATTTTCTCAGACTATAATCTACCCATGTTAGGGGGTGTCCATAAATTACGTGAGATTGTGAGACTGTGAGTAATTTGAGAGACCTATTTTGTACCCATGTTTGCAAATGATTAAATGAATATGAATATGATTATGGTCAGAGTTTCGTTTACACCCTGTATAATGATACGGTGTTTAATCCCCAAAGGGGAAAACAGGTGCACATATATAATGTAACACCCACTTTTTACTATTTATGTTACGAGTCCCATGTAATAGGGGGTGAGCTTATTACCATATACCGGGCACAATTCCAGACTCAGTGATACTACTGAGATTTTTTTTAAACTCAGTTATATTTTGGCCGACCCGGAATCTCTTAGACATACGCCTTTACTATACAATTCAACTACCATTTCTATCTATCTAAGAACACGAGTTCATTGCAAAGACTAAATTAATACTACTTACTTGGCCAATGGCGACGCTCCCCTCTCGCTGGGGTCTATCCGTTCGTCCAGTCCCCTATGTACTGACACTGCGTCCAACTCCTCCAGGTGAATGGATTGAAGATATTCCGTAGTTCGCAGCTGTTCTAGTGTTGGTTTCTTGAAACTGTTGAGTAGAAAATTATTTTAGGGGATAGGTAGAGGTGATATACCTAGGTATAAGTTGTGACAGGCGTTGCACCGTGGGGGCTCCAGAGCAGATCTCTTTTAGAGGACCCGGTGCCCCTTACACGTGCTGAGGGTGGCTCACTCCCAAGTCTTACTCCCCTAAAAGCTAAGCTGGGCGCCTTTTGAAGGTACCCCCCCCCCCCGTCATCAAAAAAGGCAAAGTTTTATATTGTTGATATACCTTAATAAATAGTAACAGTTTTATTTGTAACATGCGCTGAAATACTCACGTTACTCAATTTCAGTAGGCTAGTTTCCTAAATGATATTTGAATGTCCGTCTGGTAGAATATTTTAAAATCGTATCGGTTCGGAAATACCGCCGACGACAGATCATTCCACAGTTTTGCTGTGCGAGGCAGAAAGCTACGAGAGAAGCGCACAGTTGTGGCCTACCAACCATCTATATAATGGGGGTGGATATGCTGTCGTGAGGGTCGATGGCTAAAAGATGCGGCAGGTATCAGGTCAAACAATTCCTCGGAGCACTCCCCGGGGTATAAGCGATAGAGAATGCACAACGAGGCTCTCTACGCATTGCCAAAGTGTCTAGCCGGTTTGAAACATCCCGCCATATGTTGGAATCTTGCCGATCACCTGATGCTATTTGACCGACGTCTTCAGGAACCCCCTGTTTGGTAAACATGTTAAATACTTACGTTTTTAATAATAAACTCGAGCAGACGACTGACACCGAGCTCATTGCCATCGCTGCTGACGCCATCCACGGCTGTAGGAGTGAAGGAAATATTACATTATTTAATATATTAGCTCTTTGACTATTTAGTTAAGTAATAAAATAAAATCCGATAAGAAAAAAAAACTACCCGTTGCTATAGCATAAACTAGTAGAGATATGGTATGTCCAGCAACATTGCTAATTTCACACATTTATGCCCAGCAACATTTTTCACATAAAATATCTTTTCCCTTTACTAATATCACATAAACCACTACAAAAATCTTATGTCCAGCAACATATTATTTTTGTCAAAATTTTGCCCATGTTTGGACTTACCTGTAACTGCAACCCGAACATAGCGAATGCCCCGCTGGCCAACGGTATGCCCAGCAAGTTGTATACACTTGCGAATAAGAAGTTGAGACGAACTCTTCGCACTGTAGTTCTAGATAGTTCTAGACATGCTACTACGTCTAGCAGGTCGTTCTGTGAAAGAGAAGTATTGAAAATATTAAGATTTTTCGTCGTATGAATGTTAATCCATATAAATAGATATATGATTATCTTATAAAAGAAATATATAACATAATATCACGACTTTTATCCTCGAAGAGGTAGATAGAGGTGCACATTACAGCACTTAATGCCACTGTAAAATGTAACACCCACTTTTCATTATTTATGTTATGAGTCCCATGTAATAGGGGTGAGCCATAATTTACAAGAAGATTAGAATAATTCTAAATATCATTGCTGTAAAAATCACGTCGAATCTTTACATAAAAACTAAGGTTCTGCTTTTTGCTTAAAAACAATTATTGTTGAATCAGTTTATTTACTAAAATTAAACTGTCAAACACCGCGAGGACACCAGTGACTGCAACCTATTGTTCTATAATTGTGTCTATAATGACGGTACTCAACGAGTTAAAAAAAAACATTAATTTCTAACAATACATTCGAAGCGAAGAAGTATATCGTTAAATCAATCAAGGAAATATTATGATTATTATTTTTTAATATTCCATTTTAGGGAAAATGTTGAAATAATTAAGTTTTGCCTGAGGTAAATACTCAAAATTATATTATATCTTTTACACATTCTACTTACCCTCATAAGAACCAAATCGGCAGCTTCAACAGCGACATCAGTCCCACTGGCTATGGCGATGCCGACGTCGGCCTGGGCCAGCGCTGGGGAGTCATTGACCCCGTCGCCCACCATGGCCACCTTCTGCCCTTCTTCTTGTAACTTCTGTATTTTGGCCACTTTGTGTGAGGGCAGTACTTCTGCGTACACTTTGTTTATGCCCACCTGTGGGATTGAGTAAAGGTACATTTATAAATATTAATGTATATATATATATATGTGAAATGAAACCCGTTTCCCGTTGTCACGCTATAATTTGAGAACGGCTAGACCGATATGGCTGATTTTTTTTGTTGTGTTTGTTATTGTCAGGAGAAGGTTCTTATGATGGAAAAAAATACTGAAAATCCTACGGGAATGGGAGAAAACGGGTTTGCGCGTACTGTTATATCCCTGATATGTAAGGGTTTATGCTGGGATGACATAAAACTGCATTGTCATCATTATTATAGATAAGATAAATCTTAGCGTGTAAGGTGGCATGCCAGACCCCTCAGTCTGAATCAAACCTCCGAACGGAACGGTCGCATACTCAGTCCTTTTAATTGATTAAAGTAGTTTTAATATAAAAATAGTTCTTTTTAAAAAAGAAATCCTAAAGGAATCTCGTAACAGTACGAAGTCGCGGGCAGAAGCTAGTAAGATGATGAAAATAAAGTTTGTTTGTTTGAACGCACCAATCTCCGGAACTACTGAATTGAATGATTCTTCTTGTGTTGGATAGTTAATTTATTAACGAAGGCTATAAAATATAAACCGTCACGTTACCGTCAATAGGAGTGGAGCAGAGCGGAATCGAAAAAGAATATAACCTTAACGACAATAAATAAATAATGCTATGTTTTTGTTTTATCATACAAACTTTTTGAGGCAAAACGCATAATAACTCTTTTTCTTAAGTTGGTTAAAGAGCTATAAAGTTACCTGTCTGGCTATGGCCACAGCCGTCTTCCTGTTGTCTCCCGTCAGTAGACAGACTTGGAGCCCCATCTTCTTGAGGCAGTAGACCGCGAGGTGGGCTTCAGGCTTCACCTCGTCTGCTACGCCAATTGTACATACCAACTGGTCTGGGGGATAGATACAAATATTTATGCAATGTCTAAGTGTGGGAGAGCTATGTTTCGGCACTGCTGGGCAGGCTCGACCGGAGTGATACCACCAACGAGCAGAAAACCAACGTGACGCTTGGATTGTGTTTCGTCGTGTGAGTGAGGTTACTGGAAGCCCAATATTTCTGGATAGTGTTGGACTTGATTTTAGATATAAATCAATTCAGTCTATGCAGCATGGCTTTTGCCTAATGCTGGGCTAAAACGGTTACGATATATTGTTTAATATTTTTGATGGGCCGACGTTTGTCCACTACCTCGGTGGTGCACGATAATGCGGCCTACGATGGAGGACGTCGTCCTATAAGCAACCTATTCACTCGGGCCTTGAAGACACCCAGATTGTACCCTTTAGGAAACACAGACTCTGACAAAGAATCCCACTCCTTAGCAGTACGCACAAGGAAGCTTGATGCGAAGCGCTTCGTGCGTGTGGGTGGAATCATCATCTACCATGAATCAGTGACGTTTCGCCGATTGTCTTATGGTACGGTATAGTTAAATCTTTTCTTAAACGGATATTCAACAAGCATTGATGTTTTAAAATTTAGTCAACTACAAATGTAGGCATTCCTTTATTTAAACTCATACTCAGTATTGGCTTTAAACTCAAAAACATTAGTCCAACGCTGGCCTTAACATAAAACGTCCTAAAAACCTACAAATCAACTCAAACCGCCACAAAAGTCCAAGTCCAGCGCTGGCCTTACGTCCCACACATTAGCCCAGCAACTTACCATTGATAGCAGCGAGCACAGCAGTTCTGCCAAGCTCCTCGTCTTGCTGCATAGCTTCCTGTACCCTGCGTGGGACTGTCACTCCGTTCCTGGACATCCATTCTCGATTGCCGATTAAAACTACTTGTTCAACGTCCTGCAAATTAGAAAAAATATTCAATGATGACATAACATCACACATTTGATCCCTGAAGGCATAGGCAGAGGTGCACATTATGGCACTTAATGCGTACCTCTGTGTGCATCTTTTCACTATTTATGTTATGACTAGCTCTTACCCGCAGCTTCGCTCGCGTCACAAAAGGATAAAAAGTAGCCTATGTGACATATACCTATACACACAGCGCCATCTATACCAATACTTTTGTTTTCCCGCGGAAACATCAAATTTTTCCGGGATAATAAGTACCCTATTATTTTATCCGGACTTCTAACTTTACGTCTGCAAATATTCAAAGCAATCGGTTTAGCAGTTACTTTCCGATTTATAATATCATAATAAGGATTCCCATGTAATAGGGGGTGAGTCTATTGCCGTATATCGGGCACAATTGAAAAAAATCCCAGTAATACTTATCCCGACTCGGTAATCGAACCCCTTGCCTTGCAGACGCATTTGTGACTACTCGGCCAACGAGGCAGTCATACTCAATGACATTGTTTATTAAACAAAATGTATTTACGACTATTGAACACGGGATTCTTGGTTTGATTCTCGTGTCGGGTAAAGAATTATCGTGATTTCGGTTTTAAAAATGTCTCAGTAATAATAGTTTGGGATTGTGTCCAATGCGGATTTTCTGTTTAATGGGACTCCTAACATACCAGTTACAACGCATGCGAGTATCATAAAAAATACTTCGTTACGCGATAGTCCAGCAAACGAGCAGACGGATCACCTGATGGCAAGCAAACAGCGCCGCCCTTGTATACCCGCAACACCAGAGGAGTTACTAGTGCGTTGCCGGCCTTTTGGCAATAATCTTCTCAATCAAACGGCTATTTCTATCCTTTTATCCCCCAGTAGCATTGCTAACGGAGCCGCGAAAGACAGGAGTAAGAACGGGGCGGTGTTTAGTCTGATACTCTGTCTCGCCTGACCAAAGTCATTGGCTGATATTCTCCCCTTAAAAAAACTGCCTTTGCTACAGAGCGTGTCCTCACCTCCCCCCCGCTGGGCTGGTCGGTCCGGATGAGAGAGTGCAGCCTGGCGGCCGCCTGCGCCGAGCTCAGCGCCGCGTCCCCGCCCGGGGACACTACCTCCACTGGCACGCCTTCTACCAGGAATGAGGTGCCGGATCTGAGGGAGAAATGTTTTTGAACAAAACTAATCTATACATAATAATAACATCGTTGAAAAGTCAAACCTGTCCAATGAATATATTTTCTTAAATAATGCTTACAATCGATACCGAAGACAATATTATGATTTTTAGTCTGTATGTATGTTCGGGATGATCTCAAAAAGTACTGCATGGATTTACTTTGGAATTTTGCAGGTCGGGCCAACATATGGGCTACATATTATCACGCTATCATTTACGGGAGAAGAGTTGTGAAACTTTATTTCTCTTATGCATTAGAATGCATGCATGTTGACGGCAATAAGGATGTGTTTTGCTTGGACGGTGTTTGCATATAAAACTACGTGTGGACGCTTTAAAGGTTTATTTGTCACTAAAAATGCATACAAGTGGACTGTATTAGAAAAAAGTATAGATACCTATAGATACACTTATGTATGACTGCTGTCGTGGTA